AATAATAATAATATCAACATATAAAAGAGCAAATAAGAACGAACATAGCATTCTGTACAGACTTTAGCACTTGTTTGTAATTAATGACATAAAATGCCATGAAAGAACAAAACATTTTGTGTGACCCTCAAATAAATTGAAGCAACTAAAATGAAGCACAAACATGCCTGACAATAGGTCATCAAGGGATAAAAAAATAACATTTTCCAGCCTTCCCTTTCCCTCTACTTCCTGAATTATAAACCTTCATAAATAGATTGTATGTTTAATAGCTGTGCATACAAGGCGGGTGGAGTTTCCCCAAACAAAACAATGGGTCCAACGTGTCTGTACAATCATAGGAAAGCATTCCAAAACAAAGTCATTTTATACAACTATTAAAAGAAAATTACAAAGAAATAGCAATGAAATAGAAAAAGAAGAAGTAGCATCATAAAAATTCAATGTCTATGTAAAATCAATCTATTCTTGTATTTGTGTTCTTTCTGAGAACAACTCAAATGAACTGAGACATTAAAATACACTCAAACAGAATCAAACTGTCATAATATTTGCAAAGAAAACACATGTAAGATTAAAGATTACCCTGCTTAGATTATTACGTGGCTGTCAATGACTTTATCCAGGATTATGGAATTTTCTAAAGCATGCACTTCTAAAGAACAACCACTTGGAGGCGCAAAAGTCTAAGTAAAAATAACAAAAAAAACAAATGCCAGATTAAGTTTGTCAGGAGCAAACTATGTTTAACACCTGAACCAAACCAAATACTTTAGCCACTGTGAATATTAGTAAAATCCTGTAGGGAAAAAATACTAATAAATTAATAAAAATAAACTAAAGGCAAACCTTGTTGATCTTCTGAAACAGTTTCTTGTAGAACGGGGCTTGGAGAACTTGGAGGTGGAGGAGCCCTGCGTTTGGTCCTCCTCAGTGAAGACTCTGCTGAGGACCCACGACTTAGACCTGCCACCTTCAGGATAATGTTTTATTATAAATAAAGCACCGAATGATGTGAATGTAACAAGACATCAGAGCTTGAAAGTTCACTCACCTGATCGCCATCAGGAAGGGGGTTCGGCTCAGAGTAGAGCCTCCGGCGGGTGCTGAAGTCTGAGTGAAAGCCTTGAGAGACGTGGACTGGGGGTTGGGGCGCGCGTCTCTTCTTCGGCACATCGGAGAACATGGAAGAGCCGAGAGGGGAGGAATCTGAGATAGGTAAAGCCACACTGAGGGGCCGAGGTCTGCTGACGAGGACAGGAGAGGCCGGGGCGCTGGCTGTCGTTGCCTTTAAAGAACAAATATCCAATCAGAACATGATAACAGCCATGTTTCCAAACAACACAGTGAACATTAACTAGAGGCAAACTAAACCTAAAAAAAGTCTCTTAATATCTGAAATGCTTTAAAAGAGCATTTTTTTTGGTCTAATTTGTTACATTCACCTGCGMTGCCTTTTTCTTGCTTTTTCGAAACATGCTAAACAGGCCTTTATTTTCCTTCTCCTTCTGATTTTTATCTTTGCTTGGTGTCACTGCTCCTACGTAAAGCCAAACAGAAACAGGAGAAGGCAGCCGTGAGAACACAAAGCTACAGCATTTCTGTGGAAACCAAAGCGTACAGTTTGCGATGATTAAATACCTGAACACATTGGTGAGGTCGGGCGTATGGGAGACRCAGCTTGCCCTGCAAAGCAAACGAGCCACAGATTTAGTGCATAACAAACKGCATTCGCAGCGAGGCTCAAAAAGTTAAGAAGGAAAAGCACAGTATGGRGACACTTAAAAACACTCGGATGCAGACTTAAAGAAAGGATTTGAAAACATTACAACTCACTTTTTGTGTCTTTTGCATAAACCTCTCGTACTGCATAATCATTTAGGGAGTTGGACAAGTCCAATGGGTCCAGTGATGTGACGTCTCTCAACAGAACTGTAGTCTCAATGTCAAATTCACATTTCTCACATATTGATGGTAGGAGCTCATGTAGGGGAACCCGAGGGTTTACTCGTAATATCGTTTTCTGGSTCTGTTTGTAGTTTATCACCATCCGAACAGTAGCCTAGAGAGCAAAGGAGTCACACTGATCATTTATTCAACAACCAAAAAGTTATGTTTATTGTAGGGGTGCACCGATTGCAGTTTTCTGGCCAATCACTGATCTTTAAAAAGTCTGACCTGCCGATTCYGATTTTGGTCGATATTGATTTTTTAAAAAGGGATTCCTGATCAGTTGTAACAGACTTTATTTGATAAACATATATTTTAACTGTAAAATAAAGACTGTAAAAATACTGTAGGCTATTTAGTTTTGCATTTTTTTAAATATATATTTTAACACGGACAGAGCCATTTTATTTACACACAAAGCATTCTGGGTAAACGATGACGTGGATAGGTCCTTGGTGTGAGTGAGCTATATCCACCCTGAAGGTTAATCTTGGACAATATCTGATGATCGACTCTTTTAAATGAAACCAGAGAGCGTTGACAGAGAAGAGGCGGTAGAAATGACTCAGCCTGTAACTGAAAATATAGATGGAGGACAACAGAGCTGCTTCATGGAAGAAGAACCTCAGCTTAAGCCTGTAAGTCTTTGCACTAGCGCCGACACTATATTGCCTTATATGTATTAGCTCGGCGCTAGCACAACAAACAAGCTAAACTGAGGTCCTCCATCCATATTTTCAGTTGCAGCTGAGTCGTTTTTGCATTCCGCTCTCTGTCATGGGGATGGACCTCAGTGACGAGAGGAGAATGTGAAGCGCTGAACTAATACGTATATATGGTGATAGCGTTGGGGCTAACGCTAAAGCTAACAGGCTAAGCTGAGGTTCTTCTTCCATGAAGCAGCTCTGTTGTCCTCCATCCATACTTTCAGTTACAGGCTGAGTCAATTCTACCTTCTCCTGTATGTCAACGCTCTCTGGTTTCATTTAAAAGAGCCGATAATCAGATATTGTCCAAGATTAACCTTCAGGGTGGATATAGCTCACTAGAAGCCTCGCACCGATGACCTATCCATGTCATCATTTACCCAGAATGCTTTGCGTGTAAATAAAATGGCCCCGCCCTGTAATATATTTTTCAATTTTTAGTTTAAAAATGATAAAAACTGAACATCCTACAGTATTTTTACAGTCTTTATTTAATGAACATATACAGTATAGATGACACTGTCAGATGTTAGAAGGCCACAATACACCTTCAATCTTATTTTATTGAAATACATTGAACAATACCCTTGAAACAATACAATTTGTTTTAACTGGACATTAGGTAGTGCTCACAGGAGAGCAAAAAAGGACAGTGGCAAATTTTCAGACCTTTGTGGAGGTAGAAAAGATGATCTTTTCCCAAAATTAAGGACACTGGCTCCGAGAAATCAGCTGGCCAATTTACCGGTGCACCCTTAGTTTATTGTATCCGACAACATACCTCAGGCATCTGGGGGCCCGTTTTTTTGTTTGTATCCTCCCCTTTAGGTTTCAGTATGATCTTTTCAGCATCCAACGTTCCAATGAGAGCGTTGGGTTTGAGCTTGATGTTGTTTCTCTTGGATGTGGCCAATTCTAAAGTGTGGCTCGATGGGTTCAGGTGATATTTGGCACAAAGTGTCACTAATAGGTCCATTAGGGGTATACTGAGAAGCACACACAAAAAAACAACACAAATCAATCAATCAAACAAACAAAAACAGTATTTTAGAAAATGATTAGCAACTTTCATCACATTACATTTTTGACTTTTCTATGAAAAAATGTCTCCAAGCAAACAGTACCTGACTCACTGTTTATTTGCTATATATTTAATAATATATAGGTAAACTCTTCCATGCTAGTTTCACAAGGTTTAAAGTGGACAGATCATGCTGTTGAATCCTTTTTCACATTCAAATCATTCAGTCGGGGTCTATTTAAAGTGGAATTGCAATTCTTTGGTCTGAGTTCCTCCTTATTGTAACTCCACAAGCCCCTCTTTCACCCCTTTTCTCAGGTGAGTCTCAAAGCATCTCGTTTTGAGGCTGTCTCTTTAAATCCAAATGAGGCAGTTTATACCCTGCACCCATCCAGTTTTCAGAGTGGTCAATTCTAGTTTGAGAGAGGGGTTTAATCACTAATGTGGTGCAGAAACATTTTATTTTAAAATTCATTAAAAGATTTCAACAAGTGAAGACTTGTCCACAGCATTACATGTTGGAACCAGAGACTGACCCAGAGCCAGAAGAAAATGAAGATGACTAAATAGTATTTGGTAAGCTCAGACCTTATACTTTCTGTTCCGTCGCAAAAACTTTGATATAATAAATCAGAAAATGTCACAGAAAATAAAGAAAACTGAATGAGTTGAAAAATATGACCCAAACACAATATAAGGATATCTATGCAACACAGAGAAACTAAATTCAAATTGTCTGCACTCTTCAAGACTCTGAGTTCACAACAAAAATGCATTTAAAAAGGTAAAAAAGTGGATTTTGCATGATATATCCCCTTTAAAGTAATGCCTAAAATTATAATTTTGTTCGACCAACAGTTGAAAAACACACATATTGCATTTAATTATATTCTTGAGCCAAACATAAATCATGGCTTTTTAAAATCCATTTTAACTTTTTTTTATGTATTTTTTAATTGAAAAAAGAAAATACACAAATAAACTAAAATTCAAAAAGTTCTACAACCAACTGCTTAATGGTGTCTGCTTTTCCTAACAGAGAAATTTGGCACATTAAATTATGTAAAAGGTAACAAGTATGTGTGGAAAAAAACACCACGATACAAATGTACTGTATGATTGCAACATTTCCTAGAACAAACAGTGCTGATTAAATTAAACCTCTGACTGCTAGCTCTGTCGTAAAGATACTCTAAACAGGTCTAAATGAAGCAAAAGATTGTAGATTTAATCTTGTTAAATTGAATTAATCTCAGTCAATTCTCAACAGGCTGAGGTGCAAAGGATACCTCTGTGTGCATCGACAGAATGATAGAGATATCTTAAATAAACTCGTGATAGAAAGTAAATGCAGACTTTGCCTGGAAACGTTTGACACAAAGGTAAAGCTGAGACATGTTGTTCTGATTACAGACTGTGTTGAGGTATTTCACTGGGTCATTACTGCACTGAGGCATGCACAACTCAAATATTTAATTCACTTCAACAACCACATGTTCCATTTTTTTGTCTCAAAATTAAACAAATGCAACTAATTTTGTGTCAGTGCACCCATTAACTAAAACCACAACATCCAGCTGCTCCACCCATCTGACTCAGCTGGATCAAGCAGGACATCATGTGATGACTTCATACCTCATACATCCCATGGTGTGGAGTTTAAAAATGTTGCAACAGAATGACTGCAGTGCTTTTTTTTTATTAAATAAATTGTGGTCTCAGTGTACCTTCCATGAACCACTGTGGACTTTTCCACTCCTCCAGGCAGAACCACAGTGAGAGAAAGCTCTTTATCGATCAGGTTCTCCTTCTGGTCCATGCTTAAATGAGGGTTTCCTGGGTGCCACTGAGAGAAACCTGAAGAATTCAACTTCTTCAGTCCTGGCGGGGACGGGGCTTTATTTTTGGCTGACACCCTGCAGTCAAACAAGAAAGACAAAAAATAAGCTTTTTCTTTTCACATCACTGCAACTGAGCTTCTTGCATTCTTTAGTGTGCATGCAGAAAACATTGAAAGTGAAGAAAACACATAAAAAATGTTTTTTCAAGCCAACACAGAGGGAACTCTTTCTGCCACAAGTTTTACAGATTAAAGAGGCTGAAACATTTAGGTGTCCACAAGTCCACTTTGCACCCAAGTCACAAGACATCCAAGTGGACAGATTTGCTCACTGAACCTGAAGAAAAAACTTTGAATAAGAAGACATGAGATACTAGTTTAAGGCATTATCAAATGTGCAATGTTACAGTTTTGTGTTTATTGTCAGAAATATACAGCAAGCACAGCCTAGGTATTGCATACAGTAGATACTTAAAGATGTTTTTATTTATAAAAAAAAATTTTCCCCCATTTTGGAGGTTTTCTGTCAGCTGACCAAATGACATAAGCATCCATGTGATTTCCACAACACAAAATACTGAAGATAGTAGCAGACTCAAAGATGCTGCAATAACCCTGCAAACAAGAGGATGTTCCCCTATTTTAAAGTGTTGTCATTACAGGGTTTTAATTATGCTTGATATGATCTCTTGAAAAACAGCTGGTGTTATGACAAAGACAAAAACAGCAAACAGGAGATCATATCTCCAGTGAACGAAGGGAATAGTGAACATTAGAAACGCTCAGTCTGATAGAAAAAAGTGTTTTGTAGATCTAGTGCACTGAGTTATAGCCTGTAAAGTTTCACATGTGGGCCCTGCTTATACAAACAGAGGAATCTGAGCAATGTGAACTCAGGCTCCACTGAGGCACGTCCACCAAAGGATTATTAGTATCTCTATGGGGGAGGATGCCATTAAATACATTGAATATGGCACATATACTCATACATACACACTAAAGTATGTATGCCTAAACTCCCAGCTCCTCAGGAACAGTGAAAATTATAAAAAAATATATTTTAAAAAAGTTTGGTTTTTTTACAAATATGATGTAAAGGTAACTATTAAAACCTACTATTAGTGTTTGTCTTTTTAAACCAAATACAGGTATTCTTTTAAAAAAAAGTATATTTATGCTGATGGTCTGCTGGTTCATAAAGCACACATGGGCAAATTATGACCCGAGGACTAAAAGCTACTCTTAAGTATCTCCATCTGGCCATACCTCAAATAAAAACAAAACATAAAAAATAACCTAAAATAAATAAAGAGAGACATTTTTATTTCTAAAGCTTAAAGAAAATTACAACAAAGTCTACAATGATTGTTACTGGTTTCAAACAAAAAATGTCATCAGTGTTATGGACTAAAATTGACCAAATTGTACCATGAGAACCAGACTTAGAATAATAGTTTCAGAGGGGAATAATTATTCTGGATGTTATATTTCCATATTTCACCACTGATTCCTTTTCTACATCCCTGTCATCCTGTTCAGAGTCACGAGGAGCTGGTGTCTCTCCAGCTGTCTGTGGGCACGAGGCAGAGTAAGTTAAGTGGTCAGAGGGTTGTTTTCCATTTCAAGGATTGGGGTTGGTCTCCACTTTGCACCTGCAGGGTGCCAAAATGTCCTTTACTGAAACACTGAATGCCCTCAAATCACCTCCTCACCAGCAAGCTTGTAGGTTTATGAAGGAGAATATAAATAGTGCATAGAGTGCAAAAAAACTAATTTGTGAACTATCACAACAAATRAGAATAAGTCATATTTAGTCAAACTAAATAAACATTTTTCAGATTTCTGTCTTTTAAGCTACTATTTGAAACCTAGATCATCCCTTTATCATCCTAATCAAGAATAACACTGAAAATTTGTTCTTAATYCTATTTTTAAAGCATTCTAATGAGGACTCCTCTACATCATTTGAAAGAGGAAACCTCAAACCATATTTGGAAATCAGGATTTCCCAGTTGGTAATGAGAAATTATTTKATAGCGCGCCAAGAAAGTTGAGAAAATTTAAAACTTTTCGGCTCAGAATCATTGCCAGTTGTTGGCACTGTTCAGAAACGTGTTACAATATATTCTTTGGGATAATAATTTGGACATTTTGTTCACATGGCCTATAGATAATGTATTTATTCATCATATTTWGACAAATGTGCAAATTTTTCAACCAGTGCACTATAGCTTCCTATAGTCTATCTCATTAAAACGACTTATGACGGGTCAAATATGTTGTCTCTACAAAGATGTAAACTATTTGTGTGAACTGTTCAAGCATGACAGCTAAGCTCCAAAGTTTTCCCTGACTGAGTTTTCAAAAGAAGTTATAATTTTGTGTATGACAGACGAAAATAACAGCTTGTGTTTCTATTCAGTGACTGACTAGAAAAAGAAAAAGGCTGCTATAGCAAGCTGTGAAACTCACTGTGGTTTACCTGACTGAATGTTTACTGTCAAACTGCTTACATGTAAGATATAGAAACACAAACACAGCCCATATAATCTAACTAGAACAATAACCATCATACAATAAGTAAGAGCCGCTATATTTTTGTTTGCCGTCTTGCGTGGAAATAAGGAGCTGAAAAACCTGCTTGGAAGTAAACAGAGAAGTAAGAACTAAGTAAACTGCTAGAAAAGATCTTACCCTACGCAGATCAAGCTGGATTACAGTGGTTATTCCTAAATCTATAAAACAATCCAACTGTCACGAACAAAGTCCTTTCAAACATCTATAACACCAAAACAGATATTTACTGAACTGAGTTACAAAACTTAAAGACACACAAAACTTAGAGATTCAGATTACAAGGGTAGAATGGGTAAATATGACAGCAAATTAGCTGAAACATTTATATGAGGTCATCTAGTCATTTAACTACTTCATGGATTGTGCCCTTTTTCCAAAACGTTTTCATGTTCGACATTATTTTATTGCAAATCATCATTCTTACTCTTTAAAATATWGACACATATTAGCATGCAAATGTTAGGTCACTGCAAATTAAAATTTTGAGTTTTCAATATAGTAAACAAAGTCCAACAGTGCAAAAAACAAACTAACAAACCCCACAAACCCAACATCTGATGCAAAAAAATAAGAGATATTCAACCATTCTACGTGTTTTTTGAGCGGGTAAATCTATCACTTGGGCCACAAAGCTATTTTTTTAACTTCTTAATGTTGCAAATGGTTTAGGTTTAAATGATCTCAATAAAAATCTATCAAAGTTCATCTAAAAATAAACAAAGTGATTGTGTTAAAAATGTAGGAGTCAAGAGTGAACAGCTGCCAGACAAGCAGAAGATACAAAAATAGCAACAATTTGAACAGTTACAGACTTCCTCTTATTACATGACACAGGGTTGAAGCGTTAAAGAGCTGAATTTGCACAAAACATTTACCCTTAGCATACATGTGCAGTTATCATTTAGCAGATTAGCATCTACAGGAAGTTGTTTGCTCAAAACGATCAGCAGATATTTTCACAATGTGACAGCAAACTGAAGAATACTCACTTCTGACATACACTTGGAAAAACATATCTTTTAGAGAATACTATGAATAATGGAATATTTTTGATGAACATGTATTATTTAATTAATGTCACAACAGAACTCAGTACTTTAAATTTTTAGTCAAATGTGATTGAGGTTTTAGCCTTGGCAGAAGGGCTAATAAGAGATGTAACATTAGCTTTGTATACACTTTTTCCTGATTGCCTTTTCTAACATTACTCATGTGCTACTTACTAAATGTTATTGTAAAAAAAAAAATAACAAAAACAACAACCAAGAAATGTGTGAATATCTTGCTCACTCAGAGTTACAGTTAGATGTGTCAGCAATCATTTTAGCACTGTGAAACTGCCGTATTTTTATTTATTTGTTCCTGAACTTCCATGACCAAAACCTCCAAGTGCCCACTGAAGATTGTGCAGGTGAGTCTTGTGGATTCTGAAAATGATTCAGAGCCTTTGCTCTTCTTGTTGTTCTACCAGAGAGTGCAGCACTGCTTCATGTGATTAAAAGCCATCATGCACTGTGAACTGAATTTTGCAACGTCACAATAAAACAGCATGTTGGCTAACCAACAGTAGCCAGGCCACAACTTTTGGTCTACCATTAGGGGGGTGAGAGTTAGGTTCTCTGACTCTATTTTAAAAAAATTCAGGGTATTTTTGAGGTTAAAATGCATACTGTGATTTACTTAATTTTCTTGTTTTCTTTGTATTTACTCTGCACATTTTACGTTCCACTCCAGTTCAACAATTTAGAAAACTAACAAATATTTTTAGAATGTATTATATAGCATGCCTTATTTACCTGGTGCACTACAATTTGCCTAGGGAAAATTACAAGAAATGATTAAACAAATACAGCCCTTAATAATGTGATAAGAGCACATTAAAACCCTGCATATCGTTTTCAGCAAATATGTCTAAATGTACAAATAAGACATGGTAAATTTTGAAATCAGGTCAAAGTTATTTAAAGACAAGAGAACTGCAGCTGTATACTTAATTTCTATTGTGTTAGAGCCAATTATGTAATTTTATTGGGGGTTATATTGACTGGATTATACAGTATTATTGTGGGGGGTCATAACCCCCCTAACCCCCCTGCAAATTATGCCCAAAGCCAGGTCAAACCTTTGATGTGGGTTGACTGAAACAGAATGACATTTTCTTAACCTGCATGTCAACATGAAAACAAGCTAAACAATCATTTAAACTAGAGGCAATAGAGACAAAGTCCTGACATCATAGAACTGGTCATTTGTATCTAAAAGCATTTTTTTTTAAGTAAAAAAAAAAAAATTATTATTAAACATAATGCGTCATGATTCAGCTGACATGTTCCAAAGCAGCAATTAATACATTTTTCACCACGTCAGCTCAATTTATATTGCTTTGTCACCACAGAGGTGTTTTAAAATTACGACACCTCGGGCAGGTGACGAGCACAAAGCGAGCTCCGTGTTTTCCACGCAGCTCTGCGTTGATGTGTTGCTGATTGAGACGAGACA